GATCCGCGGGGAACCGCGGGGATCCGCGGGGAACCGCAGGGATCCGCGGGAACCGGATTCTACCTCTTGTTTTTGCTCGTATGTAGGCTAAGCAAAAGGGTGTTTTGGAACTCCCCGCGGTTCCTCGCAGATCCCCTCGGTTCCCCGCGGATCTTCCCCCTCCCGCACCATCCCGCACCACCCCGCGCACCACACCGCGCACCACAAAATTGCCGAGAACAACCTGCGCACCGCCCCGCGCACCACTCCGCGCACCACCCCACGCACCACCCAGACCTTACCAAACTTAATGAAACCAAGATTTTGACATAGGGGTAGTTAAGCGCACTCCGCCGTGGCCAAATTATATGTGTTTTTTGGGTCTATCCTACTACCAGTGGTGGATGACGGATAATTGTGCACTGACTGTTAAGGGTTTACTGGGACAAACCTAAAAGCAAAAGTCAAAAGAAACAAACAGCGCAAATTTCGGATCCCATGAAATCAACCGTTTCTGCGTCCTTTGAAGACTGTCCACCGGAGTTCGACCGGTAGAGATAACTCCCACCGCGGCACGTAGAGTGCAGTGACCAGGGCGACCGAGATGCCAAGCCTCAAAGCAGCGAGGTCAGGATATCACAAGACGAAAGCAACCTGCTGCTCAACATGCTCAACTTTGCATCATCCTCGCCGTGTTGTTAAAAGTTGCACAGTTCAAATGATTCAATTGTTGTCCTTCAGTTTTGTTTCTTTAGTCTTTGGTGTCTCTTCTGTGAACAATCAAAAAAGAACCTGGCAGAAACGTCTCCGGGTCGATCGGGTGAGAATATGGTGAGATCTCAAACCCAAGGCGGTCGGTTCGCGCAAAATGTCTTACTTTCTTAGAATTCAGCTGGGTTCAGAGTACTTACTAGTACTCTTACTAGTCTACATGTAGTTCATCTCATGGGTTTCATGCTTGAATGATCGATGCCATCGGCCGGAAAGACACCATCTACTGTAATTGTTCGGTCAAACACCGGAAAGGTGGGGTGGTCGGGTGTGAGGACCCTGTCACATGACAGAATGGGTTCTAAAGGTGCCTCCAGCCGAAGGGTGCTTTAGCGCCAAGGCCCTGGACCATCCTCGACCACTGAATACCGCCGGAATACCGCCGCACCAACAGGTCACTGGGTGGCTTCGAGATTCTGGATCCAAACATTCCACTGTTGATGAGCCAAAACCCAACAGGAGATATCATTGTTCACTGTGCCCGTGCAATAGTGCATCAATAGTAACTAAGACTCGAATAGTCATAGACTCGCATCTTTGGGAACAAACACTGGCCACAACTCAAACAAGCAACGTCAACATTGAGAGGCGCC